TCTATCTATCCATCTATCCATCCATCCATCTAGCCATCCAGTGTAACATTACTCCATATTTATATACAATTAAATAATGTTTTTGTTGTATTTGTAAAAACATTACAGATTACAGATGGGTGACAAATTTAAGTAAAAATAAATAAATGAGTGGAGAAACATAACAAATACAGATGCTTAAATTCAGGGCACGAGGACTCGCTCAATGCTTTAATGAGTATGAAAATTATGTTAAGTATGCAATGGCCTTCACAGTCCCTAGATCTTAATCCAGCTGAACGCCTATGGGAGACTCTGAATCTGCAGATGACTCTCTCCATCGGCATCATCAAAACACCAAGTTAGGGCATGTATTTTGGAAGAATGGTGTTCATCCATCCAGTAGAGTTTCACCGACTTCTATGTCAAGGAGCACTGAAGCTGCTCTGGAGGCATGTGATGGACCAACACCTTACTAAGACACTTTATATTGTTTTTTTTTTTTTATTATTTGTCACCCATGTGCATGTACGTCCTAAAACAAAATACTTCCAAAAGCATCCACTCACCAAGAAACAAAGAACTGTAATACAACATTACACACTCATTAACATAATTTCTGTTCTGTTTCTTTTTTCCCATGGGTGTGTGTGTGATATATTATTAAATAAACCAGGCATTCATTTAACAGAAAATATTATTATATATTATATATTTTCATGAATCCCTTCTTATCTCCCCAACCCCCAAATAGGTCTTATACTCCACCAGCAACCCCCATTATCTCGCCATTGCATTAACAAAACAAACAAAAGTATATAATAATGGGATACAAGGGGAACATTTAAATGTGCACATTTGTACAAATAAAAACAAACCGATACATATATACAGTATAAACCAATGCATGAACCACAAGAAGACTTGAACAGGGAGTAAAAAGTTAGATTTGTATTTGTGTAAAATTAATCTACTGGAGCCGATGGGAGGTTTAAGCTTATTGCAGTATTGGATCATGGGACCCAAAGTAGAAGGAAATTTATCAGATAAGCCTCTTACTGTGTGCTTTATTTTCTCAACAATATTCGGTCACTAAACCAGAGAGAGACTCTGGAGGGTCTCCACAATTTCCTGTTGAGGAAAATCCTTCTACAAGCCAACACCGATGCAAATGTAGTAATTCAGAGTCATTCAGTGAGAAACACAAGAAAGGATTTGTGTTGCTTCTTACAGAATGAAAACTAAGTGGAACACCAGAAAATAAGCAATCTCAGCAATGGGCTTCAGTACTACATGCAGTAAGTGTTTCAGATTTGAAAATGGTGGACTGCTATTCTGTTAACTTGGACAGAATCAAAATAATGTGTGTTTCTGCAGGGACACAAACACCTGCTCTAATTCCCATCAGTGCTGGATAGTGTAGTAATAGTAAAGAAATGTGATGTTTGAGCTTGACAAAGTTGTAGGTTTGTTTTGAGCTGCAGTAGAGTTTGTGAAGCGTTGCAGGTTCTTGCAAAAGGTCATTAGGTGTACTTTGCCCTAACAAGGTCCAGCTGGGGTGTGCAATCATCAGGAGGCACACGCACATTAAAACCTTTTTTCTAAACAGGTGGCTCGGTAACAATCTGCAGAAAAAATACACTGGTTTCAACCACAAGTAGTGTTCTTCAGGT